CGGAAGCGGGCGGCCCACCCTCTATCCCAGTCCGGGGGGGGGGGAGGCGAGGGGTGCGGTCGCACGGTGACGAGGTAGGTTGCGATTGCCGTGATTGGCCGCATCGGCGTGGCTGGGAAGTCGAACATGGGCTGGTAGTGGTTGGGGAACTGGGAGGCGTGCTGCAGCATCAGGCGCGCGAAGGGGAGGAACTCGCCGCGCGCCCACGAGTGCGCGATCACGGCGCACATCGCCGACGCGAAGCCGGCGTTGAGCAGGCCGTGCGACAGCTCTGGCGACGGTGCGGGCATGTTTGCGAGCGTGTTGTCGGAGAGGACGCGCGGCATGTAGGAGCGGCGCGAGGTCTCGGCGAGGAGGTCCTTCTCGCTCTTCTCGGCGCCGACCGGGTACGCGTCCTGGAGGCGGGGCGCGATGCGTGAGCCGCGTGCAGCCGGGAGAGAGGGGGAGAGGGGCGGGGGGAGGGGGGGAGGGGGGAAGGGGGGGGGGGGGGGGAATCCCAGGGGGTGGAGGAAAGGGGTGGAGGGAGTGCGGCGGCGAGAGGAGAGGGGAGAGAGGGGAGGGAGGCGGGCGGGGTGGCGTTGCTCGCGGGCGGTGCGCCTGCTGCGAGCCCGAGGTGCGCGGCTCGTCCTCGCGCTTGCGCCGCACGAAAACCTGCGGCGGCCAGACGTGGTGCGCGATGGCATAGATGCCGAGGGAGAGGAGGAGCCAGACGGGCGGGTAGACGAAGGCGAAGACGAGGTACCCCGACAGCAGGATCGTGAACGTGTAGCACAGCGGCTCGGTGAAGAGGTCGCCGCGCGCGCCGTCGGTCGAAGAGTACGGCGTCACGTAGTACCCGACCAGCCGGACGGCGGTGCCGCCGTTTGCGAGGATCCAGAGGTTCGGCAGCAGGCGGTGGTCGAGGTAGAGCACCTTGAACGCCTCCAGCGCGCGCAGCACGCCGTACAGCCCAAACACGGGGATGATCAGGTGCCTGATGCCCACGCGCGGCGTGAGCAGCGCGCCAGTCGGCACGTTGATGAAGAGCGCCACCGCCGCCGCCGACCGCGCCCAGAGCGGGTTGTCTCGGTAGAGGATGGCGCCCAGCCCGAGGCACAGCTCCACGAAGGAGAAGAAGCCGTGCACCGCCACCACCGTCGGTGTGTGCGTCCACGGCTGTGTCGCAGACCACGTCGAGGCGGTCATCTTGCGGTGCGCGCGGCTGACGACGGTCCTCTCGACGAGGTACGTCTT